TCCCTCTCTTGCTGTCTCTCTCTGTCAAATAAATAAATAAAATCTTAAAAAAAAAAAAAAAACAAATGGACATTCTTGAGTTGAAAAATATAATAAAAAATTAAGAAGATATTATGACAGACTGGGCAGAGCAAAGATATGTCAGTGGAAATTATCCAAACTGAAGCACAAAGAAAGATAAAGAAAGGAAAAATAGAACAGAGTATCAAGGAAACACAGGATGCTTTCCAATGACCTAATATATGTGTAGTTAGAGTCCCATAAAGAGACAAAAACAAAATAATGCAGCAGCAATATCTGAAGAAATAATGGAGGAGAATTTTCCAAAACCAATGAAATACTAAATTAAGCCAGAGCTTCAAGAAACTGAGAAAATTACAGGCAGGATTAATACAAAGAAAGCCACACATAAACACATCAAAGTCAAAATGCTGGGGGAGTGGGGGGAAAGTAGCCAGGGAAAAAGACATATTACATTTAGAAGGAAAACAAAAATAATGATGGTTGAATTCTGAATAGAAACAATAGGAACCAGAAGAAAAATAAGTGACATCTACAAAAGTGCTGAAAGAAAAAAAAAAAAAAAAAGCCTACCTAGATAGAATTCTATACCCAGTTAAACTCCACTTAAAAAAGACAAAATGAAAGAGAATTTCTGACCAAAAAACAAGAGAGACTGAAAATTAATCAACACATTTATGCTACAAGGAATATGAAGTACTACAGAAAGTTTCTTCAAACTGAAGAAAGATAACCCTTGTTAGAAGCATGAATCTGCATGACAAAATGAAGAACACAAGAAAGGGTATATATGTGAGTAAATAGGAAAGGTTAGTTAGAAAACTATTAAAGACCACTGATTGCTTAGACAATACTAACAATGTATTCTGAAGTTTTTAACATAAGTAAAAGTAAAATATATGTTAACAGCACAAAGTCAGAGGGAGGCACTAAATGAAACTAAACTGTTATGATCCTTAATTCAAGGATCCTTAATTCAAGGTTATTATCATTTAAGGATATATATTGTAATTTCTTTTTAAAAATATTATGCTACAATATAACTAAAAGCCGAAAGAGAAGATAAAATAGTATAACAAAAAATAATTGATTTTTCCAGAAGAATAAAGGAAGCAACAAAAAAATAATGAACAGATGGAATAGAGAACAAAGAGCAAAAGGGAAGACATAAACCCACCTATACCAGTAAATGTGTGAAATGATTAAGAGACAGATAGTGTCAGACTGAATTTTAAAGCAAATATGACCCAACTACAATGGTATTTACCAGAGATATTTTAAATATAAGAACACAGATGAGTGGATAAATAGAAAGATATATCATTCAAACAGTAGCATAAGAAAGAAACTAGTTGGCTACATCAGTCACACAAAGTAAACTTACGACACAGGATATTATCGAAGGGAAAGGTAAATATTTCATAATGACAAAATAGAAAGGATGAATTCATTAGAAAGACACCTTCGTAACTTCAAAGTATATGAAACAAAAATTGACAGAACTAAATCCACAATCACAGCTGGAAGTTTTAACAATCTCTCTCAGTAATTGCTAGAACTAGTAGGCCAAAAAAATCAGAAAGGATATAGAATATTTGAACAACACTAATAGCCAAATTTACTTATGACATGTAAAAACTCTATAACCTGTAGAAGTAGCACATTATTTTCACAAACACTTGGAACATTCACAAAATAAGTACTCTAGTGAGTTAAAGCAAGCATCAATTCATTTTACAATATTAAAATCAGAATGTTTTCTAAACTAGAAATTTTTAACAAAAATAAAGCAAGAAAGTTTCAATGTATGGAAATTAAGCAAAAAACTTCTAAATAACCAAATAAAAACCAGAAATTAATTTAGGATGGCAGTTAATAAAAATATAATATGTAAAAATTGCTAGATACAAGGGGAATATACAAAAAAAATCAGATGTTTACATCCTGAAAACAAATTTAAAAATGAAAAGTTTTAAAAACTATATTATTGGCAATAGTAGCAAAAACATCAAATACTTAGCAATAAATTTAATTAAAGATGTGCAAAAACTATACACCAAAAGCTATAAACACAGTGGAGTAATTAAAGACTCAAGTAGATGGAGAGATATGCCATATTTATGGATCAGAAAACTCGGAACTGTTAATTCCTCAGTACTGTTAATATTACTGTTAATATAGATTCCTCACAGTCCCAATTAAAATCCAGCAGCCACTTTGTAATACAAAAATTAATCAAAATTTAAAATCCAGTCAATTCTAAAATGTATATCAAAGCATAAAGGACCTAGAAAGGCCAAAAACAACAGTACTGAAGATAGTGTGATATTTGTGCAAGAAGAGGCTCACAAACAAATGGACCAGGGCAGGCAAAGTGGTGACATTTAAACTAGATTTTGAAGAAGACAAGGAAGAAGGGAATTAAGATTTGAAGCCTATTATGTGACAAGTACTTTAAGTAGACTATTTTAATTAACCTCAATTTTATTTTTATTTTTTTTAAAGATTTTATTTATTTGTTTGACAGAGAGAGACACAGCGAGAGAGGGAACACAAGCAGGGGGAGTGGGAGAGGGAGAAGCAGACTTCCCGCGGGGCAGGGAGCCCGATGCGGGGCTCGATCCCAGGACCCTGGGATCATGACCTGAACCGAAGGCAGAAGCTTAACAACTGAGCCACCCAGGCGCCCCATCTGTTGAGTATTTTTGTACAAATTTCCACCTAAGCTATTATTTTCTATTTTTCTTCATCTTTTTGGATTAAAGCAATAAAATAGCAGAAAAAGTACGGTTAGGGGAGAAGAGTAATGAGAAGATGAAACTGATGCAGTATCCACCAGAGAGACAAATAATAGTACAGAACAGGTGATGGAAAATGAACAAAGGTCTCCTACTGTCTTGATCAAGAAAAACAAAAGGTCCACAGAATATAATTCTACTGGTGGAAACGTTTGTGAAGAAAGACTTTGGAGGAAAAGAACATTGAGGTATACATTATTCCTTCTGCTTCTGTCTCTTAGGTGTAGCCAGTTCAAAAGTGGCTCTATATCTTGTTGCAGAATTTAAGTGAAAAGACCATAGCAAAATCTACCTATAATGAACTTTATCATTTTTGAATCACTCAATATAACAGGGTATACAAGAAATGGGAGGTTATCACTGTAGTGAAATGTCCAGTAATATAAAGTACAATTTAATGAGTCCACATAAACTTATTTGTCCAATGGGACTTTAGCAAGCACAATGCAAGCACAGGCTTGATTAGCACTTGCACACTGGGTTTGTCCTCTTGCAATGCTTCCTTTTGAAACTCCAAGCTACCATGTTATGAGATCTGGGTACCTTGCTAAGAAATCATGTAGAGAAAGAGACATTGAGCCAGCTCCCCAGATGTTCCAGCTATCTTAACTAAGACACCAGACATGTGAGTGAAGCCTTCCTGGATTTCCAGCCCCAGTTGAGCTTCCAGATAAATGCAACTATGATTCACTCCAAGCAGGTCAAGCTGAAGAACTACTCAGCTGAGCCCAGCCAAGATTACAGAATATGAGCAAGCAAATGGTTTATGATGCTACAAAAGATAACTGGTAGACATTTTGATAAAGAGCTTACTGTGTATGTGTGTGTGTGTGTTTTAATTATTTCTCATATGCCAGGTCTATGCAGTATATCAGGGGAAAAAATACTGTATAATGTTAGTTACAATCCAAATAATGAGAGCATCGCAAAACACTAGGTTAATTCAATGGATTTTTTTTATTCAGTTACATATACACACCTCTGTAAAAAGACATGTTTATTACAATAGATTGATATTACAACATAATAACAACATTCTCTACTGCATAATTTGTCCTGTCAGACATCTTATTTATGAAATCACTTGGTTGGTTATGAAATGCTACCAACTATTAAAATAGAAGGAAAGTGCATCTTAAAACAAATGTTTTTGTATGTGGGACTAAAATGGGTTGTTTTTAAAGACATATCATTTAGCTTCATTCATTTTTCTCTTTATAAACATTCATTCCTTTACCTTCATCCTTTTCAAAGGATTATTCAGCTCTCGCTGGAATGAAGCTGCTCTCCCTGAAAGGAAGGTCTGAAAGGCAACAGCCAACAAATTTTCGTACTTTTCAAGCAGAGTTTTATCTTCAGGAGGATAAATTCGTCTACAATAAATAAGATAAACCAACTAGTTTAAAAGAAGCTATTGCATTGCAAGAGTTAAGTTCAATTACATAGATACTCCTTGACCACCTACTCTCTGCCAGTTACTTTACTAGGTGCTAGAAATAAAGATGAATGCAGTTATAAGAAATTCACACAAATTTTCATCAGTTACCTACACAAATTAAAGTTTATCTAGAGAATGGTCATTAAACAATGAGGCTCCATAAATCATAGTATAAGGGTTTGGTTGTGGAGCGGTGGTTGGAGAATTGCAATCGGGCATATTGAAGAAATATCTTCATGGGAGAGAGCAGGTGATGAGGGATAATCTGGAAGTGTGCAATTACGGTGTGGTTACTGACATATACAAGAATACAGGCGTTCATCTTGGTATTCTCTTTTGGGGTGGTGGAATGTGCCTCTCCAAAGAAGAGAAGAGGGTAGAGGTAGAATGAGAAGAATGTGTTCCCAGAGTTGCTGTTGATGGTGTTAAGGCAGAAAAGAATGTTTTACCAGGGGTGTGAGAAGCTCTGTGGCCCCCAGTCCTCCTAATTCTGTTAAGTTAACATCAAGCTTGGGAAGAGGAGCAGTCTTTCCAAGAACACAAGGAATTTAGAGGGGGTGTCCTCTTTTATCCTGTCAAAGGATTCTATGGAGGGGTTCCAGTTCAACACAGTCCACACCCCTCTGTATTGCCTCATACCTGCCTCCTTCACATATTTTCATTATTTGCCTGGTTCCTGATATATCTGAGTTTAAACAAAGTAGAGCAACCACTCTGAACTGACAGAAAAAAAACTAGGAGACCTAAAACCTGACTTTCTCAAAATACTACATTAAAAGTAAATAAGGTCACAGGATAGTATCAGATTTAAAAGATCTCATACAACCACCCATGACGCTGGCTAGCAGGAATGAAATAAACAGTGCTCAAAATAAGTCTAAAAGGTTAAAAATGTAGAATAGTTGTTTTGACATTTCTTCAATCTATAAGAAAATGGAAGCACAGTTACCTATAATTCCCCATATGCCGATTTTCATGTTCTTCTTTTAAAATCTGCTTTCGTAATTGAGCGAGTCTCTCTTTCTAGAAATGAAGAAATTTTACAAATAAAATCTGACCAATGAATTATGCAATTCAAATTGTAGGTATATTGTTAAAATTTTCATACCAACTCTTCTTTCCGCCTCTCTAACTGATGTCTCTGCTGTTCCCAGTCTGAGGAACCTGGTAAGAGCCTTTTTATTGAATTTTGACCATAAAGCCTCCTTTGAGCTTCAGCTTTTTGTTTGGCCAAGTTTCTCCTTTTATCACTGGTCCTGAAATATAAAACACAGGAATTCAAATAAGCCCTGATCTTATCCCTGTGAGGAGAATTAGCAGAAGAGGAGACACAGTGGAGATACAAATCAATGTTTTATATATATATGTATATATATATTCACATACATCATATTCATCTAATCATCCATCAAATATGGGTCTCCATATAGTAAACTGGAGGTTCCTTATTCCCAGGGGTTGTGATGGAACACTCTGAGCAATCTACATTCTTTTGGATTTTCTTGAGATTAAAAGTATATGCTTACAAAATGAACTTTGGGGTATATATGGAGCCATACTATAAGTAAAACATTGTATTAAGAATTGTGCAGGCTTGAAAGACAAGTCTAACACATATATGCCCATGGAGCACTCCATCTGGATGGAGAGAAAAGGCACATCTATGATGTAAACTTCATTAGCATATGTTCAAAATGTTAAGAATTGTATTAAATTCTCTTACTGGAACAACACTAAGAAAAATAAGGAAAATGAATTCCAACTTTCCTTTATTTTTAAGTCTAGAAATTTCTCACTATTCGAACTTTTAAGAAGACAAAAACACCCATAGATTATATCCTGAATTGGTTGGCAAAGACATGAAAAAACATAAGCCTACTTACATAATAATAGTAAATGCAAAAAAAAAATGTATAGGTATACTGTTTGAATAATCTAAAATATTTGATGCACTTGTGTAAGCTAAATAAACAAAAATTTCACTTTCTATATCTCTTCTATTCATTTTTTTTAGGATAATTGAAATGTCAGTTAAATTGAGGCAAATCGTTCTTTGATCAAGCAAAAGAAGGAGCCATATGAAAATTTCTTAAGAAATATATATATCAAAAAAATAGGAAAAAAACAAATTCATGTATCGATCTTTTTTTAATAATGCTTTCCATATAAAGCTACTTCTCAAGCAAGCAATTGCTAAATGCTTAGAACCATTTAAAATAAATAAATTGCTTGGAAGCATTCCCCAACTCTTTTAGAGTTCTTTAAATGATGATTAGAATCAATTGAAATCATAAAATCCCTGGGCTTAAATGACCTCAGAGGTCCTTTAATCCAACACCCTAAACACTGTTTGAACACTTAACAATGGCAGATGACTCACTACTTCATTAAGCAGTTCAATTAAACTTCTAACAAATTTCTTTCATAATGAGCCAAAAGCTTTCCTACAAAACAGCATTTCAAATATTTGAGATCCATGATCACATACCCTGCAACCAGCCTAATAATATTCTGTTGATGGAGGAATCCCCTTTCCGAGTATATATTCAAAGGAGTTGAAATCAGGATGCAAAGATATATCTGCACTCCCATGCTCATTACAGCATTATTCACAATAGCCAAGCCATAGAAGCAAACTAAATGTTCATCAACAGATGAATGATAAAAAAAAAATGTGGTATATACATACAATGGAATATTATCCAGCCTTAAAAAAAAAAAAAAAAAATTCCTTTTTTAACTCTGTCTTAACAACTACCCTGCCCTGTTAACCCTGTCTTAACAACTACCTCTTTCTTCTGTTTACCCAGGCAGCATGACACAGTGGGAAGACCCCTGAACAGAAAGGTAGAAAATCCATGTGTTTGAGGGTTGTTACTTTTTTTAACTTCCTGAATGAACTCTGCTTTAGTTTCTTCTTGTAAGGTGAGGAAGATAATCTAGAGATTTTCCTCAGGTATTCTCCAATTCAACCTTACACTCTATATTGAATAATTATACCAACACTCTAAATTAACTATTTACTGTAGATTCAGAGCATGATATGGAGAAAAGGAAAAGCAGTTTGTAGAGAGGGAAAGATATTTAAAAAGAAAACACTAAATGAGTTTGAAGAATGGAATCAAGAAATTCAAAATATAAAATATGAAAAAATCATAAGCCAATCCCATGTACAAGTGATTGTTCTATGCCAAAAGTGGTGAAAACCTTCTAAATGAGGGAGGAAATACTTTACCTGATGTTTAGTAGCTTTAGCGCATTTAGCAGCACTCCCCTTTTTACATCATAGTCTATTTTCTGATCAGTTCCAAAGCTTGGAGCACGATTAATCTGAAATTTACAAAGAAAACAATGAGACTAGCCAAATGTTGGTCGGTTAATAAACATTCAATACATATTGATTAAACTAAGGCAAGATCCCCAACCAACAGAGAAACTCTACAATAAATCTCAAAGCTCTACATGATAGATGGCCCAGTTACCACTGCCACACCTCCCTTCCCCACCACCCTAAGTCAAGGAGTTTCAAGGAACTGACTGCTGTCACCGCCCCCTTCTCCCTGCTGCCTTAGCTCAGGATCTTTGGGAAGCTTTTGTGCCCTCTCCCTCCTCTGCACCCTCTCCAACCCAACACCCTGCGCACTCTAGGTTTTAAGTTTAGGGAAGTTAAAAGTGACTCATCCTGACAAAAAGGTTAGAAGACCAGTATTAACCGTAACAAGAATGATGTAACAAAAATAATATGCATGTTACCAATACAGTAATAATTAAATGCATTTATTTAGCATATAGAAACTATACCCTCTTTTCACGCTTCAGATCTTCTGGATGGATTCATCTATTGCTGCCTAAAAAATAAATTATTTTCTTTCTACCTGGATCAAACAATAAATCATCGATTTTCATTCCCAAAGACACTTACTATATAACTCAGAAGATACCATTAAAGGTAGCTGCAGACTAACCTCTGAGCTTCTCTAACTGCATTAGGACTCAGGGGAATAAAGGAGCCATTTGTGGGTGTTCTTTCCAACATCATTTCCAGGATTTCATTAAGAGGAAAAATAAGAAGTAACAGTAACTGTATATGCCCTGAAATCCATTATACAATCTACTACCACCTCAAGAGCTGGAGTTTTTGTTTTTGTCTTTCTTGCTATGAAAATGTAACTGGAATAGCAAGTGTTTAAGAAAGTTAATTAATTCAGTTGGCTAGAACACTGCTGAGCTCAAAACTACAGCTTAGCTTCATGACCACCACCTAACCTCACAGCTTATCTCAAAAAAATATGATGCCACTGTCATAGAAGAGGGTTGTCTTATACAATCCCGTTCCACAAGAGACAAAATAATTGACAGTATGCATTTCACAACTGGCAGCTGTAAGAAATATAAATAAGTAGAAGTATGTACATAGAAGCTAAACAGACAACAGAAAGATCACCTGTATTCCCATTACCCAGTATACTGTTATCCATTTGATAAATGGTGTACTGCTAATCATTTGATAAATGATAAATATTTGCTATGCATACATATTTATAATATTTATTTCATCTTCCAAATACATACCTATACTAACAATATTATTCTATAATCCAAGTTTTTCTTTTAACAATATATCATGAAAATCTTTCATGTCATCATTTTGATGCATGGTACTCCATTTATAGAGATATGCCAAAGTATATTATGCTTTTGCTGATCTCTGATTTAGAAGGTGATTGACATATTTCTGCCTATGTGATATGGTCTCAAGGAGAAGGGAACAACTTGGTAACTGCAAGAACATCCATTTATTCCAGGCAAATTTTAAGAAAGGGAGTTTATTAATCTGCTACTTCAAAACTCTAAGTATTTCCTCTTACAAGTGCGAAGAAAGGGTACAGTAATGTATTTTATATGGAAAATTTTAACCATTCCATACTGATTCAAATCTCTGCAATTTGTAATACATTAACAATTGTTCTGCTGCTACATGGGACAGGATTATAAAATGAACCAGACATTTAGGAACCAATGACTAAGTGGTTCACTGAAATGTTATCTATCTTTATAGAATTCCTTAGGTGTTCCATTCCAAAATTGCCATCTGGAATTCTACCAGACATATCCGTCCTCTAGGATGGAAGTAACCTCAGACCCTCTCTTACCTGTCAGAATATTCCCTCTACTACCATAAAAAAGAAATTGGGTCTAAGGAGAAATGTACCCACACAAGATAAACGAATATGTGAAAAGGTAGAAAAAAACTTTTCAAGTCACATTTTGGATTTTTCGAAAGTTTTATGATAAAGGTAAAGTAAGAACTAAAGACAGAAGAGACTCTGAAAATTCAGGTTCCATTCAGTCAAAATTCTACTCTGGGGCACCGGGGTGGCACTATCAGTTAAGTGCTCAACTCTTGGCTTTGGCTCAGGTTGTACTCTCTCTCCCTTCCTCCTTTGCCCCTCCCCACTGCCTCTCTCTCACAAATAAATAAATAACTCTTTAAAAATATATATACTCTGTGATGTTGATGGCTTCTTTGGTTCTCATTTCCTACCCCAATTCTAGAACAAGCAAAGCTCAGCAAATGTTAGAGTCTTAAAATTCAGTAGCTTGCAAATGCATGCAAAAATGAAAACTACTAGAAAGCAAATTAAATTAATAAATACCATTTATTAACCAACCAAATCATAATTTTACTATCAAAACAAGCACAATCATTTCATGCACATATCAAAGTATCCATAATAGATTCTAGGCTCCCAAATTAGTGCTGTTCCCTTGGCCCAGTAACTTCTCCCCACCTAACCCCCAGCTTTCCCAACCCCCAGTCCCCACCACACCTTCCACAGCCTTAAACACCCTGCTCAGGTGTTCCCTCCTCTGCAAAGATTTTTTTAACTGTCAAATACACACTTGTACACAGAGAGATTAATCACTCTATTGCTTGTGCTGGTAACCCTGTTCCCTACTTGTACTTGTAACTATTATCATAAGACACATATCTGAGTCCGCACTCGACCAGGTGGGGGTAAGTATTCTGTCTTCTTGGATCTCCACCCCCTGACACAATGACTTGTTGAAATTAATTCAAGGGTAATTAAATTATTAGCAGCATATTCATATCCTACCCAATTTCCATATTTTTCCTGAAAAAGGTTTCTGTGCTTGAAAATTTCTGCAATTTTGCCACTATGAAAGTACCTGCAATTATTCCAGTTAACTAAAAGTTATCATATTCTCAGATGCACCTTCTATCTTATTCCACTTGATGGTGCCAAAAGGTTTTTAACCAACATATGTTAGACCGACTACAATTGCAGCTGGGAGAAAACACAAAGAAGCAAGATCTAAATAAGATTCTTTTAATTGTTTTAATATAACAAATGTTCATTATCCATAGCTGTTGGTTACTCTAAAGTTTTTGTAATGGTTCTGACTGATCTGGAAATGATGAAGAAATGAATCGAAAATGAAAATATGTTAATGCAAACAATGCTATTTAGCTGTTGATTATTGTCGAGGTTTTTAATGGTTATTGATCTGGACATGATGAAGAAGAGAATAAAGTATGAAGAAACATTAATGCAAACAATGGTGTTTTGAGCCTTTAAAAAAATACAAAATTCAACCATTCAGTCAATTCTGATTTACCAAGATCATACAAAGCTCATTAGACAAATGCTTTTAAAAACAGGTAACTAATTATCTATAGTCCTTATTCCCTGCTCTACTTTTCAGTTCCACCTCAGGCATGTGCCTTCACTTCTTCCCAAACCCATCAAAGATAAAAGACAAGCAGCAGGAGCAGGAAAAAAAATACAGTTAAGAACAGGAAAGGATAACTGCAGACAAAGTAGGAAACCTAAGGAAGAAAATGTCAGGCCCTAGTAAGATGCAGAGTCAAATGCTTTCATATACATGTAAAGAAGGAAGCAAAAAGATAGCAAAATTCCTCACATTTATCTTATTTCTAGGACCCAGGCAAGAGCAAAATTTAAACATCTGACATCTGTATTTGATTGGAAATATAATATACATTCCTGACACATAGGAGATTGAACACACACACACACACACACACACCATTAGCCCTCAAATTGGAAAAGTATTCTTTCCTAAAAATATACTTTGAATGTCTTGATTATCTATCACTCATTCAATTTGCTTTTTCAAGTTACAGATGGAACTTCCAACTTCAAAATCATTAACAAAAAAAGAGATGATCAACTTAAAATGAAAGGTACTTGTTGACTGTACCTTCTATAGCAATATGCTCCAAAATGTAACTCATCTAGTAAACAATGGTGTTTAGGGATGTGCTATTTTCCTGATAAAGTTTCCTAAACACAGTGCTCTGTGCCCATGCGCTCTATGACTCCAGATCAGGGGTCTGAGAGGGAACTGCTGAATGGGGGAGTACAGGACTACATGACTTCTGAGTTTTCTTCTGAATGTAATATCAAGCATGACTGGAAGGAAAGCTACACAAATCTTAAACAGAGACTATTTTTATTTTTCCCTTATATCATTCCATCTTTTCCTAGTATTAAGTGATCTTTTATACTGACAGAAAAATAATGAGGACTCTGACCATGCCAGGGACTGGCAGCACACCCAAAGGCACACAGTTAGCAGGCTGGGCATGAGGGGAACCCCAGGCGTACTGTACGGCCTTCAGGGAGAATCCATGCCAGCTGGGGTAGGAGGTACTGAATACTGATTAGTGAACCAGTCGGAGCCTCTCCTTGGAGAGTCTGAATGGGAACCCAATGAAGACAAGGAGGCTGTGGTCCCGAAGCCCAGGCACCCACACAGAGGAAAGACAACATCCAGAAGTCATAAAGTGGTGGAGGCCGTGAGGCTGGAAAAATAGTGGAAGAAGTAGATAACACATCAGTAAAAGCAGATCCACGCATATATTCGAAATTCCTGGCCTAGAAAGTCACTCAACATCAGTTTGGGGAAAGTAATATCAAACATATATTGGTCCAGTCCCGGAACTGTTCTATTCTCTCAGTTTTTTGTTCTCTTCCTCCCACATGCTCCATTCAGGCCTCTTTCTGCTCAGTTAACGAGCCAACTGTGCCAAGTACACATTTAAAAAACATTTGTTTTCATGCACAAGAACAGTAGTAACTTCTCTTTCTTCTTAAAAGAAATGCCTTACCTCCAGAAGCCACGGCTTTAGTTTTCTGTCCAACAAGATATCAAATCCCAGGACTTCGAAACAGACACTTTCACTTCCTGGAGGTTGACCAGGTCTGCACATGCGATACGCATGCAGGACATGAGGCTCTGCCACAATCAAAGTCTTTACAACCAACTCCTGCACATACAGTGATTAAGAAAAACAAAAAGTGAAAATGCCTTACAAAACAAGTTTACATATATGGAAATAAGGCCTGGACTCACAAACAGCACGCTGGCCAAGTTCCCAAAGCTCTATGGCACGTGGCCCCGGCCACTACTCTGATTCCACTCACTGCACGCCACTCCTGCCCTGCTCATTGCACTACGGCCACGCTTGCCGGCTTAGGGCCCCGGGTGATAACGGTTCCCCCCTTCTGCAACACGCTTCCCGATAGATACTCCCACGCCCGCCTTGATATTCAGAGAGGCCTTCCCTGACACTGGAGTCAAAAGTAGCTGCCGCCATCCCTTACTGCACCACTTGGTACAATGTAGACTCGGCTGATCTTTTCCCTTTTTTGTTTTTGTAAGGGCCGTGTCCTTGTGCCTATATTAGTTCCTGCCATTTAGGAGATGCTCACAAATATCTGTGAACAAGTAAAATAGGAGTTGATAAATGCGGCTTCTATCTATCATAAGGTCATATGCTAGCCTTCTCAGGAACCATACAGAAGGGTTTAGGAGTGACAGGGAAGAAAAATCCCAAGGAGAGGAAACTATTTCACAAACAGCATAGAACTTCCACTTAGACAAAAGCTGGAAGGGCGGGACAGAATCCAGGAGAGGTGGGCTTCTCGGTGTGCTGCTGATTTGGCATTTCGTAAGGTTGACCTGAGACGAGAGTCCTGCCGATTACATAAACAGCTATCAACGCTTTCTGTGAGGACACACAATACTACCAGAGTGAGTTACTAATGCTCATAAAACAAAAAGTTGGCTTACTGGAGTTTAAGAACAAGTTACGGATTGTGGAAAAGCTGTCTGGCAGGGGCTTCTTTGCTTAGAATATACTGTCTTTTTAAGTCCCCCTCTACGGGTATAGGCAATAGAGCATGGCAGTTAAGAACCTGGCTCTAACATCAGGCTTTCTGAGTTTATTCCTGGCTTTGCTACTCGCTACATGTATAACCTCAGTCACGTTGCTTAAACTCTGTGAGTCTCACTTTCCCCAAAGGTAAAGGGGAAATAGTAACACCTACTGCAAAAGACTGATGTAAGGACAAAATGAGACTCCAATGTAAAACTCTCAGCATAGTGCCTAGAACAAAGTAAACCTTCAATAAGTGTTAACTACTACTACTGTTATAGTCATTCTATCATTCCTCCAGAACCCATCTCCTATGTCAGGTCAGAAACAAACATTCCACTACCTGGTGGGAGCAATATTCACTACATGGGAGAAAAAAATGAGAGACAGAAATTAACCTTGCTGTTACCCAGAATCCCAACCCAGATCATATTTGGGGTAAGTATCAGAGATGCCAGGAGAGGTTGTTCTACAAAATTTTAATCAAAATAAAAAATTGCCAGTAACACTAAAGGATACAAAGATAAGAGCCAAAAAACCACTTCATATAAGTCTTTGGATGTATTAGTGAAGTCACAGGAGAATAGGAGAAAAGAGGTTAAAACCTTGGCTAATAAGTGTTTGCATGAAACAACTCAGGCAGGATGGGCAGAGTGAATATTAATGAACCCTGAATTACAAATCTGTGTTTTTTCTACATAAAACACACATCTGTAAGGAATGCAAACGCAAGACTGCAGCTATATGTGAAAATCAGGAGTGATGGAACCAAACACGAATCTAATTCCACTAACGCTTTTGAGAACTTCCAACCTAGTGTCATTGCTGTGAAATGTGATTTGTAGATTTGTACATATACGTAAGTATATAAAAAGCATTCAGGGGCGCCTGGGTGGCTCAGTCGTTAAGCGTCTGCCTTCGGCTCAGGTCATGATTCCAGGGTCCTGGGATCGAGCCCCGCATTGGGCTCCCTGCTCCGCGGGAAGCCTGCTT